GAGTCTGTGCAGTCTGTACAGTCTGTACAAACTGGGTGCTGACAAAGTGACCTTTTGCTTTGTTGCATCTAATGTGACAGTTAACGGCCGCCGTTATGTTTGGTCGCGTGATGTGAGGAAACCTTTTTTGCCGGAGGGTGACTCAGCGGTGGCGTCAAGCTCGAATAAATTATCTGTTGGTGCCATTGTTGGTATTGTTATCGCAGTTGTGGTTTTTCTTGTTATTGTGGCTGTCATTCTGTTTTTTGTACTGCGTCAGCGACCACAACAAGAACAACGAAGAGAAAAGGTGCCGATAGATGCTGTGGACTCTCAATCCACAAGTAAAACAACCACAGTGGAGACTACTCCGAACCCTCTCATGAATCCTCCTGTTGTTGCTGCTGCAGGGATTGAGTTGCAACATCATCCTTTGTCTCATACGCCTGCAACAGAGATGGAGACACATGCCCGTTCTCAAACACCTCTAGCAATGCAGTGCCATGACAGAATGACACCCACCACTGTTACCGCCGCAGTTGAAGTGAAAGAGCACCGTAACGAACTCCCTCGTGTAACGCGGGATGAGGATCCTTCCAGACGTGTTGCCGCTCCTCCAGCTAAGGATGCATTGCGACAAAAACACTTTTTGAGAGGCTCACTCCCTAATACCAATCAATCTTTGGGTAAAACGCCTATCAGATCTGATGTGCTGGGAGCTCCAAACTGCACACCACATCAGGTATCAAGTGAAACTGTGTTGACGACTCCCGTTGAAACTGAAGTTGTGCGTAAGACTGGGGAGGAGCAAATGACCTCTAAAACAATAAAACGTCAGTCTGACAATGCAATGATGACACTTTGCAATGCGGTTGGTTCTCACCCTGATCCTGACGCAGAGAAGAATGCTGAGGGGAGTCACTCAGCAACTCTCCCTGCCCCTCCGTCCTCTGAAGGAGCAGGCACGTTACCAACTCTCAGTGAAACGAGTGTTCCCCATGAGGATGAGGGTGATATGACTCCTCAAAATACAGGTGGCTCTGCTTCCAATTATGATGAGCAGTATTTTCACGAAGTGATGTCGAGATTTCCCTATTTGTATGCTTTGGTGCGTTTTTTTGAGGGAGGAGAGTTTACTCTTGACGTAGAGGAAGATGCTTAGGAAAGCGACCCAGATTCTGAAACTGCCCCTTAACACTTTCCATGAGCAGACACATTCCCAGCTCGCAGTAAAACGAATATTTCCCATGAGGATGAGGGTTATATGACTCCTGATAGTACGGATGAGTCTGCTGTTGATTGCAGCAATCAGAAGTGGTCTGACAGAATGAGGCTGATACAATGCGATGGAAACCTTTCACATTTTAATGCTGATGCGGATAACACCAAAATAACACAGTCAAATACTGTCAATATGCCTGTTTATACAACAAGTTTGAATAAATATGCCTGCCAGTGATGTGAGACAGGACCACCCTCCCAGGAACACTACTGTTACCACTCCAGTGCCACCAGAATATGTTATTGAGAAAAAGGTATCCATCTCTGTTTACCACACTATTGCCCTCAGTGATAACAAATACTGCTGTATCTGAAAATGCAGTTGTTCCTGAACAAGGTGATGATGACGTCTAGAAGGATGTTGATATTCTTGATGGCCAAATGGGGAGGAGTGACATTCTGCCCAGTGAACAAGAGATGGGTGAGACACCCGCACCTCTTTACGACCCATGGGCACCAAATACTTTTTTTGTTCGTATAGAAGTTGATGATAATAATGATTCTGATGGGGAAACCTCCTAGAATGTAGTTTTGCGTTAGTTGGAGAGGAGATTTGAGTGGAGGGACTCCATACTGCATGTTTATCAAGAGCGTTCACTGAATGATTTATATGGAGAACCAGACATTCCCCCAGTTTTTTCCCCAACTGAGAATCACCTTGAGGACGAAAACACTGCAGTTAATCCCCCCAGAGAAACGAGTAGACAGTTGCGCCGACAAGGAAAAGGTTGAGAATAATGATTCGCCATTTTTTTTTTTTTTTGTGTGTGAGTGGTATGATGGACATGAGTGGGGTTCTCTGCAAAAATAGAAGAAAAAACATTTACCAATGAGAGAGTTTGGTTGTGCATTCCTGTGTGTTGTTATTACCATTAATGATGGCATCTAGGAATTAGGGAGCTGAGTGCGGTATTTTTTTTTGGGAGACCTTTGCCATTGATTGAGTCAAAACAAGGGATATGTGTGCACATTACAGGCACAGGTAATGGTGAGAGTCATGTTAGAATGAGAATCTACATTAAAACGAATCCCTTTGCTACTGCTTGTTGTAAATAATGATATGACGATAACATTGATAACAGCTATGAGGAGGATTGTAACTACAAAACAATGTGGAGAGAGGTAGGGAACAGTGATGAATGGAATGAAGAATAACGGATTCCACTGGAGTCACTGGTGTGGAAAAAAGAAAAAAAAAACAGTACAAGAACAATATCACACGCTGAATGGAACGATTATGATGACAATAAAGAATGATCGTGAGAACAGTTTTTCAACACAATAATGAATGCTAATATTGCATGGACAAACAATGGCATTTTGTTCTGCATCGTGTTTGAGTTGTTTGTATTATTTATTATGAGCTACGTGGATTGCACTATCTGCAGAAACGTGATTATTTGATGTTGATATCTTTGTAAACTGTGTTGACATTTTCTGTTGTAATTACGCTTGCAGAATAGTCAATGGTATCGTTAATAATTTACGACCTCTGCAACGGTGTAAATACCATCACAAAGGAGTGGGCTCATATGAAGATCAAAAAGTGTGTGTATGAGGTCTGTATGCATCAAAAACAAAAACACTCTTCAGTGTAAGAGAACTCTGTGAGATGACAGTAAACCCAACATTGTATAAATAAAAAGAGAAAAAAAACAATAAATAGATAGAAACGTTTCTTTAATCTATGTTATTCCCTCTCTCTGTACCTTTACATTAATTGTCATGGAGTAGTTAGTACCCCAATCGCAATCATATTCTTCTTTCTATTCCGATAAAATGAAAGGAAAAAAAGGAAAAAAAAATTCCACTGAAGTGCCACCTGAATGACACAAAAGAGGAAAAAAAAACGAGACATAAATGGTCGAGGAATAGTAATAAAGGAAAGAATGACAATGAGTAATATATTTTATTTCTTTTTTTATGGCTAATGAATAATGTAGACATCGGTATCACAGTAGTGTCAAACACTGATAATGATGGTAAAGTGGGAAAATGTGAATACACCAAACAATATGACGGATTATTTTCATTTTTGTAGATGTGCAATAGTGAACTTGGTATTTGAGTTCCATTTTTTCTTTTTATTTGGGGATTGAAAAACAGTTAGCCTAGTATTCTTTTATATGTTTTTATTATTATATTTTCGTTTTGTTTTTCATTCCTCGTTTAACGAACACCACCTTTCTTTTCCTCGCCTTGAAGAAAAATGAGGAACCTTTTGGCGCACCTGTTTGTGAGTTTACCTAGGTGTGAATTAAAGAGATGGTGACAGTAAAATTAGGGAAGTGTTCTTGCCATTGTGTTTACTTTATTTGGTTCTCTCTCACTCTTTCTCTTATTGTCTCATGTGTAGACTCAATCTGACTAATCACAACAATGCTATTTTACAAAAAAACAACATGATGCGCCTGGTCCGCCACACTGCAGTGTTACTACTCATTTACAGCAGTATCGTATCCCGTGCGGCAGAACCCCAACCCCAACACCAACGCTGTATCTTCAATGATGCCATGCGTAAGAGTGGATCCCCCCTGCAAAGGTGGTGTTGAGAAGTACAGAGAGCAGGAGATCGTGCATCTCATCAGATACACATTGTGTCATCGTCTGATAAATGGGAGTCACTCCGCATCAACGTGTCATCACTCGATCTGGACGATGAGAAGAAGAAGTACTGCAGGGAGCATCTCGAGGACCGTAAGAGTTATTTTAAGTGTTCTACGCTTTATTACCGTGAGGATGACGTTTTGAGTGAGGATAAGAAGAATACACTTCTCAATAAGATTCTTCCTGCAGCAATCAAGTTACACAGCGATCTTCTTCTCGTTAAGCAGTTGGAAACTCCCTTCAAGGTGCCGGATTTTGGCAAAACTCTTTGCTCTCACTTCACAGTTCCAACTACTCACATCAGTGAGGGTGTTAAAGACACATATATGGTGCTGTACGTTGCCGCTGGGCCCCCAAATGGCCTGGATGATATTTGGGCTGTTCCGTGTGCAGTTCTTGAGCAAGATGGACGACCTGTTGCTGCTGGTATTAATTTTGTTGTAAGGAATATTGTGTTTGAGCGGAGTGTTGCTCGGGTTACAGCACATGTGATTGCACATGCCCTTGGCTTCAGCTATGGGCGTATGAAAGCACTTAACATGATTTCAAATGTAACGAATAAGCGCAAGGACAACAAAGCGGTTGTAGTGAAATCAGAAAAAAAAAACGAAGGAGATGGCAAAGGAGTACTTTAACTGCAAATCATTGGAGGGAATGGAGCTGGAGGATGGGAAGAGCGAGTATGACCACTCACACTTTAACCGATGCATTGCGCGTGATGAACTGATGAGCACCTGGAATCTTAACGAGGCTGATAGTCGTACCATTGGAGTAATATCTATAAAGACACGAAGAAAAAAAAATAATAATAAGGCCCGTTGGGAAATGGGAGAACGAATGAGTTGGGTCAACAAGTCCGGCTCTGAGTTGTTGGAGAAGAAGTGCAAGGATCTCGACAAGACCAAGTCTCGTGCGCCCTTCTGCGAGGGATGGAGTGAGCGGTGTACGTCTGATCGTACAGGTGTGGGGGGTATTCTGCCAAAGTGAGTTCCTTGGATAATGCTGCTGTCATGTACTCTGATGACTACAGTTCATTTGGAAGCAGTTCCTCTTCGAGCGGAGGGGTGGAGGATGAGTGCTCTGTTGTTTTACTCTTCGCATCCTGCAGGATATCTTCCTACAAGTTAATCACTGGAGTCACGGGAGACAATTCCTGGTGTCTGGACGGTGAATCCCTAAACGTGACAGGGTATGGGGGTATCTCAGTCCCAGTGGGTGGTGTGTGCGTGGCAGTGAAGTGTGTACCATTGCCGCCAATGGAAGCAGCCTCACTAACCCAAAGATGAACGAAGAAGAGAAAAGGAAAGAAGCCACTGAGGTGAAAGAGGAAATGGCAGTAACATTGCCTAATGCGAATGGACAGCAAGAAGGCAAGGATGCGTTGCCTCCCACAGTGACATCAGAGTCCACTGTGCAGCTCAAGAATGGGGCCCACGGTTCTTCTACAGAGGGTATTGCAACAGGGAATGGGAAGACTGAGACTTTATCTTTACGCAAGGATACTCTCCAGGAACCCAATAAAAAAGACTCGAAGATGTATGGACACGTTCAGTCATCTACAGTGGATGACTACAAACATTCTTCTGCTTTGTCAGATGACAGAAGTGGTAAGAGTGAAGGGTCTTCCCCAAAGCGAAGGAAGGCCAGGGACCTCACCAATACCTATACTGGGTTTATGGGAGATATCTAGCCTCACGCTGAGGGCAAACTTGACGAAACTATGTTTCTTTCTATTCAGATGCCGTTTCTGCCTTTCATACTTGGCATTTCCATAATGGTATTTCCCTGAGCCGGATACAAAGCATGCTCTGCATCTGTTTTTTTTTTTT